TACTCCTAGGTCCTTGATTCACTTTGAGTTGGTTTTTGTACATGGTGTGAGGTGTGAGTCTTACTTGAGTTTTCTGCAGATAGTTTTCCTATTTGGCCAACATCATTTGTTAAAAAGACTGTAGTTTCTTCACTTAACTGATTTTATCTTGTCAAAAATCAGGTGACCATAGCTAGATGGGCTGATTTCTGGGTTCTCAATTCTATTCCATTGATCTTTTGTCTGTAATTGTACCACACTGTCTTCACCACCACAGCAATGTAGTAGGATTTGAAACAAGTTAGTAAAATGGCTGCTACCTTGTTTCTTTTTTTTAAGAGTGCTTTGCTTATGCAGGGTCTCTTTCCATTTCAAATGAAATTGGGGGATTCCTTTTCCATATCATTGGAGAATGGAATTGGTCTTTGTATTGGAATAGTATTGAAAGTGTAGATTGACTTTGGTAGGATTGTAATTTTGACAATATTGACTCTTCCTACCCAAAATCCAGGTATAGTCTTCCATTTCTCCAGATTTTTTTTTCTTGTAGTAATTGGGGTTGCTTTTTTTTTTGTTTGTGTGTTTGTTTGTGGGGTTTTTTTTTGTTTGTTTGTTTTTAAATTTTCTTTGAATAGGTCCTTTGTGTTTCTAGTTAGATTTACTCCCAAACACTTGAACTGTATACATTGACAGAGAACTACAAGCTGGGTTTAGAAGAGGTTGTGGCACTGGGGACATTATTGATAATGTCAGATGGATCTTGACAGAAAGCAGAGAGTACCAGAAGAATGTCTATCTATGTTTCATTGACTATGCAAAGGAACTTGACTATGTGGATCACAATAAATTGTGGCTAACTTTGAGGGAAATGAGGATCTCAGAACACTTGATCATGTTATATGAAACCTGTACTTGGACCAAGAAGCAGTCCTCAGAACAGAGCAAACAAATACTGCATGGTTCAGTATCAGAAAAGAAGTGTGTCAGGGATGCATCCTATCCCCATAACTTTTCAATCTGTATGCAGAAAATATCATTCAGGAAGCAGAGTTTTATAAGGAGGAGTATGGCATCAAGATTAGAGGAAGACTCATCAATAGCTTATGATGTGCAGATAACACAACCTTGCTTGCTGAAACTGAAGAAGATTTGAAACACTTGCTGCAAAAGGTCAAGGACTGTAGTCTTCAATATGGATTAAAGCTCAACATCAAGAAGAAAAAGATTATCACCACTGGGCCAATTGGCAGCATCATATTAGATGGAGAAAAGATTGAGGTGACTAGCAATTACAGCTTGCTCAGATCCACAAGCAACACTTAACACCAACAGTCAAGAAATCAAAAGATGAATTGCATTGGGAAAATCTGCTGTCATGGACCTCTCCAGAGTACTGAAGAGCAATGATGTCAGTCTAGGTAACAAGGTATCTAGACCTAAGCCAGGCCATGGTTTTCTCAATTACTTGTTATACTTCAGAGAGTTGGACAATGACTAAGGATGACAGAAGATAAATGCCTTCGAGTTGTTTTGCTGTAGAAGAGTCTTGAACATACTAATGGTGGACTGCTAAGAAAACAAATAGGTCTGTCTTGGAGAAGGTGAAACCAAGACTTTCCTTGGAGGCTAGGGTTTTGAAGCTCTGCCTCACTTACTTTGGGCACATGGCTAGGAGAGCTCGATCTTTGAAGAAGAACATCATGTTCAGATGGGTGGACAGACAGCACAGCAGAGTAAGACCCCAGATGAGATAGATTGATACAGTAACTGGAGCAATGCAGGTTGCTGTGTTGGAATTAGTGAGAATAGCTCAGGACAGGGAAGGGTTCAGAGCTTCTGAATGTAGGGTCGCTACACATTGCAGGTGACTTAATGGCACATAACAACAATAACATGCTATGACAGATTTGGAAGCAAGAGTGGCATCCACTTCCTATTTAACATGCCTCAGGAAACTATGAACTTTGATAAATGTTGATAGTTGTAGAGGGACTTTAAGCCTTTGTTCATAGGGTCACTGTGAGTCATGCTTGACTCAAAGGCAATCAACAACAACATTTAATCTTGTGATTAGCTATTATTATGGTTATTGGTTTTATTAGCTCCTGTTCTATAGTCTCTTTGCCATTATGGAGAAATCCAATTTATTTTCGTATGTTGATCTTGCATCCTGCCACTTTGCTGAATTGGTCAATTATGTCCAGTAGTTTTCTTGCTGAGTATTGAGCATTTTCTAAGTATACTATCATAACTCTGTATATAGAAATAAATTTACCTCCTCTTTGCCTATTTGGATACTTCTTAATCCCTTTTTTGTCTTATTGCTATCACTAAGTCACTAAGACTTCTAAAACAATATTGAATAGGAAAGGTGATAGTGGGCATCCTTGCCTCATTCTTATTCTCAAAGGGAATGCCTTTAATATCTTTTCATTGAAAACAATGTGTTCTCTTGTTATTGTGTATATCCTTTCTACTATGTTGAGGAAATTCCTCTCTATTCCTATTTTGTTGAGTGTTTGAATCAGTAAAGGATGTTGGATTATGTCAAAGGCCTTTACTGTATCAATTGATAGGATCATGTGGTTTTTGTTCTTTGCTTTGTTAATGTTATGAATTACACTTATTGTTTTTATGTTAAACCATCCTTTCATATCTGTTATGAATAATACTTGGTTGTGTTGTGGTGAATTATTTTTTTAATGTATCATTGGATTCTATTGGCTAGGATTTTACTCAGGATTTTTGCATCTATTTTCATGAGGGATATTGGCCTGCAGTTTTCTATTTTGATAGTGTCTTTACCTGGCTTTGGTATCAAGGATCTATTTGCTTCATAGACTAAGTCAGGGAGAAGTCCATCTTTTTCTATTTTCTGAAATACTTTATGTAGAATTCGTAAGAGTTCTCTGAATGTTTGATAAAATTCACTTGCAAAAGTATCTGGTCCAGGGCTTTTTTTTTTGGCTGGAAGTTGTTTTATTACCTTTTCAATTTATTCTTTTGTAATGGGTCTGTTCAGGTGTTCAACAGCTGGGTCAAATGGTATTTCCACTTCATCTTTTTGAGAAAGCTACATACTGCCTTCCAGAGTGGTTGCACCGTTTTACACTCCCACTAATGGTGTAATAAGGGTTCCAATTTCTCCACAACCTCACCAGCATTTATTGTTTGCTGCTCTGTTGAACTTTGCTATTATTATTGGGGTGAGATTGTATCTCATAGTTGTTTTGATTTGAATCTCTCTTTGCGCTAGGCATTTTGAACATTTCTTCATGTATTTGTTAAAAAACAAGGCCACAGAAATTGACAGCTTACTAATTGATATATTTTAACAAACAGATACTGCCCTGGATGTGCTCACCAAGTTGTGCCAAGAAATCTAGAGGACAACCACCTGGCCAACTGACTGGAAGAGATCTATATTTGTTCCCTTTCCAAAGAAAGGTGACCTGACAGAGTGTGGAGATTGTAAAACAATATCATTAATATTATATTCAAGCAAGATTCTGCTGAAAATTATTGAAAAACAACTGTAACAGCACATCAACATAGAACTGTGAGATGTGTAGGCTGGGTTTAGAAAAGGCCATGGTACCAGAGCTATTATAGCTAATATTAGATGGATCTTGGCTAAAAGCAGAGAGTACCAGAGGAATGTCTATCTGTGTTTCCTTGACTATGCAAAGGAATTTGACTATGTGTATCACAACAAGCTGTGGTTGACTCTGAGAAGAATGGGAATCCCAGAACACTTCATTATGCTTATGCAAAATCTTTACTTGAATAAGGAGATAATCATTGTCGGAACACAGCAAGGAAACACTGCATTTTTTTTTTAATTATGAGGGGTGTACACCAAGGATGAATCTTATCTCCATATCTTTTCAGGACAGATAATCCAGGAGGCTGGGCTCTACAAAGAAGAATATGGCAGCAGGATTGGAGGATTGGAAGACTCATCAACAACCTGTGTTCTGCAGATAACACAACTTTGCTTGCCAATACTGAGGAAGACTTGAGGAGTTTGCTACAGAAGGTCTGGGACTACAGCCTTGAATATGAATTGAAGCTCAACATCAAGAAAACAAAGATTCTCACCACTGGGCCAGTTGGCAGCATCATGAAAGATGGTGAAGAAATTGTTAACAGATTCCATTTGTTTGGCTTCACAATTAGCACTTTTGGTACTAGCAGCCAGGAAATAAAAAGACAAATTGCACTGGGAAAGTCTGCTGTCAGAGACATCTCCAGAGCATTGAAGAACAATAATGTCAGCCTGGAGACTATGGTGCACCTGATTCAGGCTATGGTCTTTGCAATTATCTGCCATGTGGACAATGACTAGGGATGATAGAAGAAGAATTGTTGCCTTCGAGTTGTGGTGCTGGAGAAGAGTACTGAATATGGACTGCTAGGGGAACAAATAGCTTTGTTCTGGAGAGGGTGAAACAAGGCTGCTCCTTAGACACTGGACTTGGATGCTGAAGCTGCATCTGACATACTATGGACATGTTGCAAGGAGGGACCAGTCCTTGGAGACATACATCATGCTTGGGAGGGTGAAGAGATAGTACAAGAGAAGAAGACCCTCAATGAGATGGGTAGATTCACTCAGTAACTAGGGTAATGGGAGTAGGTGTGTCAAAGATAGTAAGACTGGCTAGGGATAAAGCAGGGCTCAGAGCTGTTGTACATAGCTCTGAAGATTATACACAGCCCATAGGTTACTATGAGTTGTAAGTGCCTCAACAGCACATAAAAACAGCAAGAACATAAAGTAAACAATAACAACATGGGGGGATTAAAGTCCTTAGAACAACCATTTGAGATCCAAAAGGCAACATTTACCTAGGGATAAAGAGCAGGAAGGGACAGAAAAGAAGGACAAGTAGAAATAGTAAACCCAAGAGAGGAATGAGACTGTAATTTATGTCACAAAATAAAAGTATGTATTGATTGGTCTAATTTACTCTGTAAATATTCACCCAATTTTAGAGTAAAAGTGAAAATTCCTATTGTCAGGATGACTTCCTACCACTAAGTACGTTCCTCAGTGAACTCTTCACATTTTTGTTCTTCAGGCTGTAGATCAAGGGATTGAGCATAGGGATAACCGTGGTATAAAACACTGAGGACACTTTCTCTTCCTCCATAGTATTGCTGGAGGGAGGCTTGAAATACATGAATGTTATGGATCCAAAAAAGATCCCCACAGCCATGAGATGGGAGCTGCAAGTGCCAAAGGCTTTGGACCTACCCTCATTTGAGCGAATATGTAGGATACTGGAAAGAATGAAAGCATAAGAGATACAGACAGCCAGAGTAGGTGCTAAGGTATTAACACCTCCAATGATAAATAGCAGAATTTCATTGATATTGGTACTGGAGCAAGAGAGAGTCAATAAAGGGAGAATATCACAAAAATAATGACTGACAATATGAGACCCACAGAAGGACAGCATTGACATGCGAGTAGTATGGACTGTGGCCCCAAAGAAACCCAGGGAATACACTATAGCCATCATTATGGAACAGACCTTATGAGACATTATGACATTGTAATGCAATGGACTACAGATAGCAACATAGCGGTCATATGCCATAGCTGTTAAAAGATAGCCTTCTGCAATTACAAAAATAAGAAAGAAATAAAGCTGAACCATGCATTCCACAAAAGAAATAATATTCTTTTCTGACACAAAATTCACTAACATCTTAGGGGTAATGACAGAGGAGTAACAGAGGTCAATGAATGACAAGTGACTGAGAAAATAATACATTGGAGAGTGAAGTTCGGAACTTATAGTAATTAAAATTATCATTCCCAGGTTTCCCACCACTGTGATCACATATATCCCAAGAAACAGGAAGAAGAGTGGCAGTTGGAGCTCTGGGCGATTTGTCAGCCCCTCAAGGATAAACTCAATCACTGAGGACTGGTTTGAAGTAGTCATTTCTTGGAAAATATTATCTGTAAGTCAAAAAAAAGATGAAAGAAGGACATTAGAATCGTTTTTGATTCTTAAAACAGAATTCTCCTCTCTCTCTGCTAGCCCCAACTGCCTCATGACTACATGGCTCTCAAGAGACCCTAAGTGTAGTTGAGCACCTTGCTTCTATCCAACAATGAGGAATATTTCTCTTTAAACTTGAACTTTTTAAATTTTTTTTTCCAAACTTAAACCAATAACTACCTCACTTTAGGGGAATGCACAACCTTTAAAGACTTAGTTAATTTTTAATTATTATTATATAAAAAGAGCCCTTCTGGCATAACGTGTAAGGTGTTTGTCTGTTAACAGAAAGCCTGGAATTTCAAAATCACCAGGTATTCCACAGAAGAAAGATGAGTAGTCTCTTCCTGCTAAAATTTACAATTTTGGAAACCCTGTTGAGAGTTGCTGAAAGTCAAAACTGACTCAATATCTGTGGATTATTATATAGAAGTATCCTATTTTTCAGAATATATATCACTATTACACTCAGGGTAAGAAGCAATGATTTTTACAAATATCAGAGGCACATAGTTCAAATCCAACAGTTTTTCTGCAGGAGAAAGATGGGCATTCTCTGCTTTTGAAAGTTGTCACCTGTGAAAACACACTGGAGAGTCAACTATGAATCATACAACGTCACACGCAAATTTGAGCCCCTATTTATGCTAATGAGAGCAATAACGTTCTCTATTGCAATATGTATTTCAGTTTAACTTTGGTGATGAAAAAAAATTTAGTTTCTCAATCCATCTATTTACATGGTGCTGTTGTTGTTAAGTGCCATTGAGTCAAGCATACATAACAACCCTAGGAACAAAAGATCCGAACCCTGTTCTAAAATGTTCATTGTTTCTCTAAAGGAGAAATGAAAAAGATTACTCTCAGTGAGATATATTGATGAATGCTGCAGTAAAAGGCTTAAGCTCAGTAGAGTATGTGAGGATGATGTAGAATAGGGCAGTGCTGTACACAGAGTCAAAACAATTCCCTGGCACTTAACAACAACAACAAATATGTGGGCACTTTAAAATCAGAGAGTATCTTCAAAGAAACTGTGTGTGGGGAGGGGGGGAAATGTATAAATGTCTCTAATTAATTCAGATTCTCATTCTCTTATTTCTGTTTTCTGAATAGAAAAACTTCAGTGATGAAGTTGTTGACATAAACTAAGGTGTCAGTGATTATCCTTATTCTACAGTTTTGACCTTCTCTGCCCTAAAAACAGCAAACAACACAGCAAAGAAAAAAAAATTCTTGATACTAGTATCATCAGGGAGCTCTGGTGGCCGAGTGATAAAAACCTGAGCTGCAATCCAAATGCATGTGGTTCGAATTTACCAGCCGCTCCTTGGGAGAAGGATGGATAATCTCCTCCCATGTGATTTCTTTTGCTTTTCAAGGAGAGGAGTGAATGGGGCATGGTGGTGGGGTGGGCGGGGAGAAAAGTGCAACAATGAATGAATGGAATTCCAAAATCTCTGTAGATGTTCATTGAAATAAAAAAAAACACATTAAAAATAAAAAATTAATAAAAAAAGAAAATGTGGAAAGAAAAGTTTAAACAAGCTGGAAAAAAGAAAACTTCAAGAAACAAAGGAATTACAGGTATCATTTAAACTTTCTAAATGAATTTGAAAGTAAAAGAGAAATATTATAGCAAACATATACATTCAACTTCTTACATTCTTACTATATACTTTGTATAAAGAAATACTGTAGAGAATGAATAAAAAGAATTGTTGATCTCCAGAATGTGATTTTTTTACAGTTCATACACTAGTTTGGAAGTGTAAAACAGGCTATTCTTTTTGTTATGAGCCATCGACTTGTCTGCGACTCATAGCTACCCTATGTACGACAGCGCAGAAGTCTGCCCTGTCCTGAGTCAGTCTCACGAACTCCAGCTACCCTCACTGCTCTAATTACTGTATCAATCCATCTCATCCGGGGTCTTCCTCTCCTGTGCTGTCCCCTCTAAGAATGATGTTCTTCTCCAAATACTGGTCTCTTCTGGTCTCATGACCGAAGTATGTGAGACGGAGCTTCAAAATCCTCACCTCTAAGAAGAAATTTGGTTTACCCTCTCCAAGACAGGTCTAGTTATATTGAATTTGGCTACAAAAATAGCATTGAGTATCTGTACTGGGCCAGGAACAAGGAATTCCAAGGTTTATAAGATGCAGTTCTAGCTTTTAGAGAACTTATTATCTCGTGAGAGATTTGTTGCTATTGTTGGGTGCTGTTGAGTTAATTCTGAATGGAACTGCCCTGTAGACTTTTCCTGGCTGTAATCTTTACAAAAGTAACAAGTAAGAGGTGAAACATTGAAGTTGAGAGAAGGATTTTGGGGGTTTATTTAAAAGATAGAAGAGACATGAACATTTTTATAGGAATCAGAAAACTCCTTAATAGAGTGAGGTTCTCAAAGAGATTAAGAAGATAAATAAAGAGTAAACATATTAACAGGAAAGGAAATATTTTTAATGATAGATAAGGGAAATTTGTAAAAATTCAGAGGAAGAGGTTAACATTCCATGACAATAATGAGCCCAGTTTCATGGAAGATATATATCTATATATCTATCTATATCGATAGATAGATAGATAGATAGATAGATAGATAGATAGATAGATAGATAGATATTGACGTTTTAATCAGAATTTAGTAGGAAGAGGACATTGTAGGAAAGGAAAATGATATGAGAGTAAAAATGGAAAGAGAAAGCTCTGGCAGCCTAGTTGCATGCTGCCAACCCAAAGACTGGTTTGAACTACCATCTGCTCTGCTGGAGAAAGGAAGGCAATCTCTTCCTGTGTGAGTTACAGTCCCTGAAATCCTGCTGGAAGGTCAGCTATGAGTTGGTTCTCACTCCAATGGACAGTAACAAGGTTGAAGAATTTAAGGTGTGTTCAGAAAAAAATATGTAGTTGAGTTTTACTGAAGTAGTTTTATAAGGTAGTAAAGTGATAAAATTGAAAGGTTATTATTATTACTAGTTTATTAATGAGTTGCATTGAAAATCACCCAGGTATTGAGGACTTTCATTTATAGGGTCACTATGAGTCACCTACGACTAGACTACACTTAACAACAAAACAACAACATAGAGAGAGAGATCAGTTGGCTTAGTCTAGGACAGAAAGCGATGCTACAAAGCCAAAGGTGGTTAACTTCTAATCCGTGGCCCTCAGGCCTGTTTTTTTCAAACATTCTTCTAGGTTGTATAGCTCTGATCTGTCCACTTCCTGTACAGTGATAACTTGTGGTTGCTATGAAGCTGAACACTGTGACACTGATGTGTCAAATGAGTTAATGGTTGGTTACCCATGGTGGACAGGATTTGGTGGAGCTTCCCAATTAAAACAGGTTTGGAAGCAGGAGTGACATCCACTTCCATAATAGCTTGTCTCTGGAAACCCTATGAACCTGGAGAAAGGATGAAAGCCACGTAAGTGTTGAGGACTTTTGTTCATAGGGTCGCTGTGAGTCACCTACAACTCCACAGCACTTAAAAACAACAGGAACAACAACAACAATATGTGATTAACTGCCTCTAAAAACCCTCTGGAGGATCAGCTATGGGTTGGTTCTGACTTGAGGGTATTCAACAAGGACAGTATCATCAACAAAATTTGTTATTATTGTGTGTCATTGAGTTGGAATCAACTATAACTGAACTCTCTAGTGAGTTTTCAGATGCAGTAAATTGCAAGAGAGGAGGTTGTCCAGCCTTCTTCCACAGAGCAGCTGGTGGATTCAAACTCTGTACCTTTGGGATCACAGTGCAATTTCTTCTTCTTCTTCTTCTTCTTCTTCTTCTTCTTCTTCTTCTTCTTCTTCTTCTTCTTCTTCTTCTTCTTCTTCTTCTTCTTCTTCTTTCTCTCTCTCTCTCTAAGATTATTATTAATTGTAATGATAATTTACAGAGACTTTGGATTTCCATTCATTCATCGTTGCACTTTTCTCCCTGCACATCCCTCCCTGTCCCCACTTTGCTCTTCTTTTTGAAAATTGAATAAAAATTCTTTCATTGTTATATAATTCCTCCCTCCAAGTCTACTACACTGTGCAGCCTTCATTCTGGACTCCTGTCATGATATACATAATACCTAATCATATATCCCTTTTAAACTGTTCTCTCTTTTTCAAGTTTGTTATCTCATAGCTTATCAGCCTACAATAGTGCTGCTATAGTGTAAGGCAGAACAGTATCCTTTCTGATCCTTGCAAAGAATAAATGAAAACATAAGGAAAATAGCAGTCAATAAATTAGAAGACATGTTGCATTGGGAAAATCTACTGTCAAGAACTTCTCCAAAATTCTAAAAAGTAATCATGTCAGTTTAAAGACTAAGGTGTGCCTTATACAACCCATGATCTTTTTGATTACTCCCTATGCATCTGAAAGTTGGATAATGTAGAAGGATTATGGAAGAAAAAAATGATGTCTTTGAATTGTAATACTGGAAAAGAGTACTGAATATAGAATGGTCTGTCAAAAGAATAAACAAGTCTGTCTTTGAGGGGGTGCAGCAAGCTACTCACTCCTTAGAGGCAAGTGTGGTATAACTTCATCTCACACACTTTGTGCATGTTATCAAGAGGGATTGACCAGTCCTTGGAAAGAAAAACAAAACATCATGTTGAACAAACTAGAGGCTCAGAGAAAGAGAAGAAGACCTCAATGATATGGAGCGATACAGTGACTGTAATTGTGGGACTTACTATATGAGATATGAGGGGTATGGAGCAGAAAAGGGCAAGGTACAGGATAGACAAGATTCAGATATATTGCATAGGGTAACTATGAGTCATAGTCAATTTGACAGCACTTAACAAAAAGGGAAATAGTTGTTTCTTATACCATCAGATAATCAGGAACGTTACAACACTATTCATCAAATTCTTCATTGAGATGTCCATGAGTGTTCAAAATGAAATTATTTGCTCTGTGTCTAATTTT